GGAAAAGAAATAGTATTTCTAAATTAGTGTGATTTTGCCCTGGCCAGTATGGCTCAGTGGGTTGGAGCATTGTCCCGTAATCAAGAGGTTGAGGGATCGATTCCCAGTCAGGGCATGTCCATTTGATTCCCCATTTGGGTGTGTACAACCCTCGGTCTGGGCATGGGTCAGGGCATATGGGAGGCAGCCAATCAATGCTTCTCCCTCACATCGGTATTTCTCTCTCTCCCTTCCTCTCTCTCTAAACACAATGAAAAACTGTCCTCAGGTGAGGATAAAAAGAAAATTTTAAAAAAATTAGTGTGATGTTTATAGAGTATGTGGTTTTAAATAGGTCTATGTACCTAAATTTAAAATGTAAATTTTGTAAGTAGGCATGTGATTTTTTTGCCTACATACCTAAAGTACATGTATTTTCAAGTTGACACACACACACACACACACAAAAAACCCCTAGGGGGACTTTTAATAGGGAAAATGGGGAAATTTTTTATATTTGAAATTGCTTTACAGTTGAGCAATAGAGTATATGCTAAATTTAATAAAATAAAATTGACTCACGTAGCTAGCCTACTGACTCCTTAACCAAGCAGAGCTCTCTCCCCTTCTATCAGATGCAGGGAGAAAAAACTCTGGCAAGTTTGACTGTATTTAGTGGTTGTTCCACCTCCATTTAATCATCTTTTGGAGCCTATAACTTGAACCAAGTCCACAGCAAGCGCTCCCTCCTTCAGGAACCACAGCGGTGCAATGCCCACTGTTTCAAGCCAGCTCTTCAGCCTGGCTCTCCATCCCACTCCGCTGACCTAATTTCCCACCACAGAACAACCTGCCCCCTCCATTCATTCCTGATAAGTCTTCCTCCCTAAGGGCTCCTTCCACTGAAATGGCTCCCCTACCCCCAACTCCATCCTTTGCAACCCAACCCAGGTCCCATGAAAGGAAGTGGCCTGGATGGAGTCAGCCCACTACAGACTGGCTGCCACCCCCCGAAATCCTCGTGCAATGCAGTCATAATTCAGCATTGAATTACATGCTTTTATAAGTTATCCTGTGATTGCTTCAGGCATATTTTTTTTTTCACTAAGAGAAAAAAATTCTGAGGGTAGGGACTGAAACTAATAAATCTAGATTCCCCTCAGAGTTGATTATCACTTCACTGAATGTTGTCTAATGACACCATGCCATTTCAAGTGAAGGATGCTTTTACCTCTGTTCAAGGGCAAACTTCAAACTTCAGTAAACCATTGTTTTTAACAAGCCTGCTACCTCCAAGACTGTACCAGCATTAACCTACTGACCTGAATCACAGAGCATTTGCAATGGGGTTACTACAGATGACAAAAAAAAAAGAAAAAATGAAAGAAAGAAAGAAAGAAAGAAAGAAAAGAAAGAAAGAAAGAAAGAAAGAAAGACATTAACAAGAGAACTCCACCTGCTTTAGGAGTTATAAAAAGGTGCTCCATGCCTCAAATCCATCAGTAAAGCAGCTTGTCAAGTGAGGTAGAGATGTTCAAAGCATACCCAGAGCCTGACCTAAGGCACTCTGGGATACCAACGTTCCGCTGCCGTAGCCCTGAGTTAAGCGGCCATCATCTGTCACCTGCGGGACTGCAATACTCCCTATCTAGTTTCCCTGCACCCTGTCCTCATCACCATCTATTTCCCAGCAGGGACCTAAATGAGCCTGATGAAATGCGAGTCAGAGTGTGTCAAAACCCGCCAATCAGGCACCAGTGTGAGAGGTAACAGATGGCACATTCAAAGTGGGTGCTTTGAGGAGATTTTATAAAGGAACAAGTTGCAAAGGCATAGGCAGGTGCAGGGAAACCACAAAAAAGGGTGCAGTACCCTGGGGCTGGCAACACAGGGGAACCTGACCCCCTCCTAGGCCAGAAGGTATGAAGAGAAGGTGACGGGCACAGAGTCCCATGGAGAAGGCTCCTAATAGGAGATGTGATTCTTCTCCCTCTCTGTCATCCCCCATCCGTACTCCCCATGGCCAAACACAACCAGAAGCCATGAGGCAAGGGAGCCTGTCAAGCAGGTCCACCTGCTGGGCCACATCCACAGAGCAGGGTAGAAAAAGCAGAGAAAATTTGGGGAAGGAAACAGAAACTATCCAGCCCAATGGCTTCCCATCTCAGTCAGGGTATTTGAAAGAACTTACATAGGGCCCTACACCATCCAAACTCATCTCCTATTCTCCTGTTTGTTAACCTCTCCACTCACAGTAGCTTTCCACTCACCAGGCACACTCTTCCCTCAGGTCCTTCGTACTGGTTACTTGCTCTACCCAGAATGCTTTTTCCCACAGATACACACATGGCTTGTTCCCTTGTTACTTCAGGTCTCAGCTAAAACGTCACATCATCAGAGGTTCTCTCTTGCCACCTTATCTAAAAACTACCCCTGCTCCCACCTCACCCATCCCTGGCACTCTGTCTCCCTTAGCCTGCTTTTTTGTCCCCACAGCATTTCTAATTAACATATCTAATAAGTGATAGATGATAGATAGAGAGCATAGGTAGATTACCCTTTTTTAATTGACTGCATCCTGGCCTAGAACAAAAGTTTCATAAAGCCATCACCTTGGCCTCTTTCATTCACTGCCACATGTCCAGTGGCTAAAACAGTGCGTGACACACAGAAGGCACTCAAGTATTTGTTGAATAAGTTAAAGTGAATTAATAAAACAAGGAATCATAACTAAGGGCTCTTTCCACTATTTTATGTGATAATATGATAATGATATGATATATGATAATAGGTTTAACTCCTATTATCAAATTGTTGTTTAACAAAGAAAGTCTGCTGATCATCAAATAGGAAGCAGGTGACAAGCATTGGTTTTTATTGACAATGGCATAAAATTGAGCTCTGACAGTAATTGTTCAGTCAGAACCAAAAGAATAATAGTAGTACCTTCTGTAAATGACTCCTCCTAGCAAGGTTGGCACTTCTTGTTAACGTATCATTATTAACCTACCAACACAGTACTTTTCTAAGCCTTAGTCTTCTTGTCCTGTAAAGTGTTTAAGGACTGAATGACACAATGTGTGGAGAGCCTTTAGCACAGAGCTGGGACCCAATAAACAGGCGTTATGATGATTATCAAAACAGTGAGGCAACCATGAAAATGAGATACTACATTATCTTCCCACTGTGTGAAACTGTTTATCCTAGACTTTTAAAATGTGAGCTGGAATAACAACAAAAGGAAATCTTTTATTTCCTTTCCATGTACCCTACAGTCGGGCCTACATTTGAAAGACACCCCAAAATACCAATGTTCCATATCTAACCCTAGCTTCCACTGCGGGCCCAAGCCTTGGCCCAGCCTTTTGCAGACCGGAACCTTGTTGTATCCATTGCTGCACTGTATGCCTAGGAGCTTAGACTATAAGTGCTGGTGTTTTCTTAGCTGGTAGAACTAAGCAGGAGTACTCTACTGAAAAGAAGTAGCAAAGAAGAAAAAAGGAAGAGAAGATCAATAAGGTTGCTGATGTTCCTTTTTTTTGACTTACCCCTCTAACCATGGAAATCTCTGTTCTGGTTCCTAATACACAAGCCAACTTCTATTTCCTTTTCTCCACTAGCATTCTACCCATAGTCTTATATGCTGGGTCACTTCAGTTAACTACATTAAAGTTGACCCAATAGTCTTAGGTCAGATACAATGAAAAAAGCTTGATCTGAATCAACTCAACAATTCATCACTTAGGAATACTGCAAAGATCTTGTAGGTTTTTCATTGATGGAAGATTTCTTGGCCATCTTTTGCAAAATACTTCTATAAAAGGACAGACTGGTGGTCTAACTAACCTGGGGAGCTACATTAAAAAGATAAGAGTTTCCTTTTCTACCCCCAAGATCCATGAAGCATAAAACTCCAGTATTAACACTGTCTTTGCTACAGGTATAACTGTGCAGTCAGTCAAGCCTTTGCTTTTGTTTTAATTAATTTATAATTCTATTGATAGCCATAATATGCAATATAATAACTATCACTACTAATTTTGCATCAGAGGAAGCTTCCAACTTCAGACAGGAAAGTCCCAGCAGGTCCCTCTAAGATTAAGCCTGAGACTGATCTTACTAAAAGATCTTATTTTAGTCAGCAGCCTGATGCTCATTTGTAAGTGCTAAAAAGAATTGCCCTGACCACTTCTCCTGGTGACAGATGGGTAAACATCTCCACAATAACTTGGGAACAGTACGGGAATGAGAAGAAAAAGGAAACTATAGTTCACTACTCATTCCCTAAACACTTTTACAAGAGATAGGTCCGATCCTACTTCAAGGACTCAGTGAATGTCAAGGAGTCCAATATTTATAATTTTATTGTAAACGCTTTCCAAACTATATTGTTTTCCTGTCTGTCTTCTCCAACCAGACTGTGCCATGCTCATGGTCGGGTGCTATTTTATTTCTTTGTATTTCCAGCATTAAACGCTGTGTCCAACAAACTGCTGGTGCTCAAATGATTGAATGACTTCTAAAATGACCACACACGAGGAAGGCCCCAACACTGGCACTGGAGGTCAGAAATTGAACAGATCGTGAAATGGCATGTCCTCACTCTGGCCACTTCTCTTCCACTCTATGTCCCAAAAGTACAAGTAAGGTGAGGAAAGTGTAGTATCCATTCGAGAACCTCCCGATGTCCCGGCAGAATGGAGTGAGCTGTCTGACCCGCCCGGGTGGCTTGTGACCTCCAAGCACAGAACATGATTCTTTCTGTCTTTCTGCTCTTTGAGACGGAGGGGACCCAGGTTCGGTCCCTTACGCCAAGCCCAACCCTGACAACGACCCCTCCCCACAAACACTCCACTCCCTAGACCAAGCCCGGGCGCCCGGAGCTTCCCAGAAAGGAGGCTCCGCGCTGCACCGCGGGAGTCGTAGTTCAGTAATAAGTTCCGCACGCGGGCTGCCCGCGGATGGGACTCCCACTCCCAGAAGTCGCCGCGCGGGAGCCTCACCTAGTCCTGTCATCTCACCTGTTCTATGGACGTGACTGTTTCCACCGAGTCGTCCTGCAACCGCTCCCTCGCGTGCTCGGGCCTCAGACAGTACAGCGGCTCTGACCAGACAGGAGAGGAAGATGGAGGGCAGTAGCAGGTGAAGGAACTCGGTGAAGCCATGATCAGTAGAGCAGCGGGTGGTGTATAAGACTCAGCTTCGTCCAACAACTGCGCGCATTGAAACTCGAGCGGGTTAAGGCGCTACGGCGAGCGGATAGAGTCAAAAATATTTTGAACGCGAATCTCTCTCTGCTACCTACAAGTCTTCAGGGAGTGAGTTACTGAGATGCTGCCGCCCCCCGCTGGTTAGAGTTGCTGCTGCAAGAGGCTCAACTTCCTGGAGGGCAAGGAAGGAAGCATGTGTATAGTGCCTCTGAATTTCCTCTGAGAGACGGCGTAGGATGCTTCGGTTCGTTATGCAAAAGAATACACACACACACACACACACACACACACACACACACACACACACTTCAACGTTCTGCTAATTCTCACATAATTGTAAGCTGTGGTTGGTAATCTCAGGTGCCCAAAAGCCCAATGATTGTAACTGTAAAAGCATTTCTGACAGGCTCTCCTTCCTAATTGCCTCAGTCACGCTATCATTAACAGAATTATTATGCACCTTCGGGTACGAGGCAGCCGCCCCAGGAGAAGCGAGCAGCTTCTCAACAAAAGGACCTGCCATCTCAGTACTCAGTGCTGAAGGGAAGGGGCATTGTAAATCTCTCCTGTTCCCTTGGGGGTTGCAGTGCAGTAGCAGGAACTAAAATGCAATAGAAGGAACACGTGTAAGTGAAACAGCAAAGGCAATATTCATTCATTTATTTATCCTTTTTTTTTATAGAGCACCGACTGCACGTCAGGCACTGTGCTAGGTCCTGGGGATACAAAAGTGAAAAGAGCAAAGATGGCCCCTGCCCTTGGAAACCTCACAGTCTAGTGGAATAGACAGAACTAAGTGAATGAGCACATAAATACAGGAAGACTTGTGATCAATGGTATAAAGGAAAACAGTCTGTGAGAGAAATTAAAGAAGGGACTAACTAGATTGGGTGGTGAGTCCAAACCTCTTCACGTAAGTGACATGTAAGCTGAGACCTGAAGGATGACAAGGAGCCATCCATGTGAACAGTATGGGGAAGAGCTTGAGAGGAAGGAACAGCAAGGTGGAGACAACATGACATAAATATACATATGTATGTTCATGTTAATTCTGATATTTAGTCTAAAGGTATTCAGAATTTTTAAAAAACCCTATATTGAATGGGGTTAATCATATATACCTCCATAAAAATAATTTGAGGTTGTGATATTAGGAAATCCCTGGTACCTTTGGACAAGCAATAGAAGAGAATCTTTCAGGGGCCACATCAAAAGGACTACACCAAAAATATAATACCAAGACATTAAACCATTCAGAGCACAGGGGATTGTGGGGAAAGGTAAGATGATAACAGACTTTCCACATAGAGCTGGACACAAGCTTAATTTCCTGTTCAGAGCATTTTAATCTGTTCCTACTCATTTCCAAGTCACATGTCTAGGACCCAGGGAACAGTGGTGCAATATTTCACAACCATCCATTCCCCTGTTCTCAGTTTCTGGTGTCAAAAATAACACTCAGAAAGATTCTAAGGATGAGGCCAGGATGAGGATGGCCTAAAGGACTCAAGACATACCCACTGTGTGAGAAGAAGGAACTTTCCTCTACTTATGACTATTTCAGCTGATCTAATAATTGAGACAGCTTAACAAGAGAAAACGACCAAATTTAATTACATATGCACACATGGGAACCCACATGCATAAGAGATTTAGAGGCAGTTAAAATGGGGTGTGTATGGCATTTTGAGCTAAGTATGAAGCAAGGTGCCTTGGGGCTTCAAAGGGTCATTGCAGGACAAGAAGGGCAGATGTGCAGTAATTAGTAGTTTTTCCTCCTCGATAGATAGGTTTTTTGAAAAGGTTATCTCTGATAATCTCTTATTATGAACAAGGTTCCTAATTCAAATTCTTCTAGGTACTTAATGGGTCAGGGGACAGAAGTTTCTCTTGAGCCTGAAGTATCAGTTAACCTTAGCTCAAAATAATCCACACACTGCACAGGCATACCTTGGGGTGACTCCTTCTGAACCCCTATACCATTTTAGTGGTACTGGTGCGAAGGTGGGTCGTGCAGGTGGTGGAATGTTACGAAATCTGAGAATAAGTGAGACTGTGGGTTAGGATTACCAATATGGCTGCACTATTCTTCCCTTTGAACTGGCAATTTACCATCTTTCCCTTAGTCCTGTTTTAGAAAAAACTGTCTGATCGATTCAGCCTTCTTTGTAAAGTGTTGCTTTGCTGGATAGAAATTTAAACTGAACTACTGAAAGAGTAGCTAGAAGTGTTTTGTAACAAATTGTTGCATCTATATTAGGTGAACCTAGAGCAATTGCAAATTGTACTCAAGAAAGAGAAATCCATTTCTCAAATGCAATCTCCTCTGCAGTGGGATCTGAAAGATATTAATAGGGGCATGGCAAGAGTCACCTGCAGTATAGTGTCTGCTCATTCAGTAAATATTTATTGAGTGCCTATTACATACTAGGCACTAAGCTAAGTGCTGAGGAGACAGTGGTGAACAGTCCAGACTCAGCTCTTAGGGGTCTCATGGTTTACCAGAAAAAAATGCAATTACACAATCATTACAGAACTATTTAATTGAGGGAAGTAGCATAAGGGAGAAAGAAGCACAGGCGTTGTAAGATTGCATAACAGAGGAAACTACAGGTAACCTGGAAGATCAGTAAAGACTCACATGAGAAAAAGAGTTAACTAACCCAGGCTGATGGGTCATCCTAGGCAGAAGAAACCCAGTGACAACCAAAAATCAGGTTAAACAAGGAATGAAAAAGGTGAAGAATTTGTATTCTATGTAGCACCAAGATTGTTCAGCGCTGGGTCAACAGTTGTCCTTCTTCTGGGTTTAATAAAACCATTCATTCAAGAAGCAGAATGAACATAATTACTGGCTATATGGCAGAGAATGATGTATTTACAGGAGAAAGTCTCAATAATGATAATTCATAGCAGCTCCAGCTTGGACTATAGATGGTTTGGGTTTATGTTACTCAAATGCCTGATAGTTTCCTGAATTAAACTGTGAATTATCATTGTTTTTAGAAAAAATAATACAAAATTATAAGGATAGTGCTTACTCCATCAAGAGTAAGAAAACAAGAAAAAGTTAAAGGCCTAAATAAACCCCTAGAGGTCGCTTCTGACCCCAGTGTAGGCCTACAAAGCTGGCTTCAAAACTGCTCTCTCTGCAGTTACAGGAGCCTGTATGTCAGCATGAATTGTTTCTTTTAATATCTTGTGGAACTATGCAATGCATAACTTGGAAAGTTTGAAAGATGGAAAGAAATCATCTATTATCTCACTAGGTAATTAATTTCCTCCCACACAGTTACTCTTCCACCAGCCTGGATACAATGACTTCCCAGCTCCTACCTAGGGCCAGCCCCTCCCGCTTCGCCCCCCCGCCCCCCCCACTCCTGCCCAAGACTTTATTCCACCAATTTTCCCTTGCCTTTCCTAAAACATCAAATTGTCCCTATACTTGATCACTCCCATCACCCTCAAACAGGCTACTTCTCCATTGTTGGGGGGGGGCAGGAAAGACATTTTAACCCTCGTGATTCCACTCCTCCTCCAGCTCCCTCTCCATCACTCATTTCATTTCCTCTCTGTCAGTGTCTCCATTTCCTCTCCTCCAACTGTTTCTTGGACCCACTCCAACCTGGCTTCCCCACCAGTTCTTGTCAAGTCCCCGTTGAACTCCGTATTGTAAAATCCAAAGGCCAATTCTCAGTCCTCATTTCATTTTCCTTGTTGACTTCTCACAACATTTTACATGGTTGATCATGCCATTCTTCTTGAAATACCTTCTTGGATTGTCTCCAGCACCTGAATTTTGGAGCAGCCCGGGGTTCTCTGTCTACAGTCATTCACCTGTGAGCCTACTCAGTCTCAATGTTTTAAATACCACCAGCAGGTTGAAAACTCCTTCATTTATTTCTCCATCTTTCTCCTGGATCTTTCTCCTGAACTCCAGAGTTCGTATCTAATACCGTCCTTGCATTTCCGCTTGATGTCTAATAGGCCTCTCAAACTAAGCACAGCCGCAACAGAGCTGCTTATTTCCATTCTCAGTTACAGCAACTTCCTCTTTCCACTTACTCCATATATCTTGGAACCATCCATAATGTCTCCCTTTCTCTCACTCCCCATACGTCTTGCTGAAAATCTATGCAGAATCTGACCACTGCTTACCAATCCCACTGCTAGTGTCCTGGTCCAAGTCACCATCATCTGTTACTTGGAGTCTCTCTTACATTCATCTCTCAACTGTTCTTTTTGTTTCCACTCTTGTCCCCAATTAGCCCAATACAAACTCAAAAACCAGCTGAACTTTTTCCAATGTAAGCCAAGTCACGCCTTCACTGAAAGGCCTCAACAGCCGAGCCTGCGCTCCTTGCGTGCTCCTGCTGAGTCTGCCCACCCACACCAGCCTCCTTGCTGTTCTGTGCGCGCTCCAGGCTGCCATCAGCCTCAGAGCCTTTCCGCTGATGACTCCCTCCCCTGCGGGGCTCTGCCCTCGGATACCGGCAGGGCTTGCCTCCTCGCTTCTGAGAGTCTTTACTCAAATCCCTTAGCCTCACTCAAATTCCTTTTCTTTGAGGCCCTTCCTGACCTCCCCAAACAAAATTGAAATACCATCACCCTGCCGTAGTACTCTGTCCCACTCTCCTGCTTCATTTTTCTCCGTAGCACCTACACCTGCTGACAGACCAGATATTTTAGGCACCTATTTTATTAACTGTCTGCCTTTCCCCCACTAGAATGTAAGCTCTCAGGGCAGGGATTTTTGTATTGTTTCATTATGTATGTACATGATAGTACATACATAATAAACATTAAATTAAATAATTTTCAGCCGCTGTAATAAACATTTGAGTGCTTGTTGGTATAACATACCTTAGAAGATAATGACAATGAATATAATATTAGACTTACCCTTCAGGAGTTCACTAGCTAATAAAAAAAAACAATATAAATATAAAATAAATAAATATAAAATAATACTCATGCATAAGTATAAACAAAATAATACACAGATGCATTGGGACAAT